GAAACTTTTTCTGATCTTTTCCGATTGCTGCCATCATTTGACTCCAGCGTGCTCAACACTAGCTTCACTCCCCTGGTAAGCCACTGCTTTCCTTTGTTTCAGTTTCTTGTTTCTCCTCAAACTATTACGTTTGTATACTGCTTCTATGACTTCATTCATGTTGTAAATTTCCCTTACTTGCAATTTATTTATGGATATATACACGTATTCACACACTCGTTCAATTTTGCCACTGTTTTTGGCCTGATTGACGATAAGCTGGAAGTCACAGAAGACTATTACTTCATCAACTTCCATTATTATTGTCAGCTTTAATCCTGCGATCAGTGCTTCATACTCTGCTTCATTGTTTGAGGCTTTAAACCCCAAATGTATGGATTGTTCCAGTATCTGCCCGTCCGGAGATACTAGCACTACTCCTGCCTCCACTCCTTGTCGATTTGAACTCCCATCAACAAACAGCCGGAAGGAGTCGCCGATGTAAATACTGCATGGCCTGCAACAAAGGCTACTATCTTGACTGGACGACAACCCTCAAAAAGATGTCTGTCCCCGAGGACTCACCCCTCCATGATATGGGTCAACTCAATGTCTCTCCCTTTTCCCTTCCTTTCCTAATCAATCTGAGGATGAGGCCGAGGAAGTAGAAGAGGCTGACGACGAGGAGGCCGAAGAGAAGGAAAAGGCTGAGGCTGACGTTGCCGAGAAAGAATCTAAAGCTACTGTTAGGGCCAAGTCCCCAACTCTAAATGAACAAGTTCTTAACTTGACTCAGGATGGAGAGGATGATGTTCAAAAGACCACTTTTGAGGCTGAGATCGAGACTGCCAACAAGAGCCTAGATGACACACTGTGTGAAATCGACGCCGAGGTCCAAGATGAAAAATCTGCCCAGCTGTCTGCCGAGGCTGACACAACACCAATTGCTAAGGCTGGGCAGACTATGGAAAATGCATGAACTTTGGTTTTTCCTCCTTTTTATACTTTTCCTTCTTACTTTTAGACAGTTGTAATCTTTTGTTTGAAAAATGTTAGCTTTATATTTGATCGATGTGCCCTTTTTGTCTTTGTAGATGAACAAGTGACCTCTTATGCCAAGCCGAAGTGCCTTTTTGTATCTGAACAATTTTTTTCCCTGAATGCAAGTCTTATATTTTCTTCCAAGTGTTGAATGTATGCCTTTTTTTCTATGCATGTTTGCTGCTTTCTTTCATGCTTCCAAACTTATAATATTTTTGCATATCTTCAAAGTGTACCTTAACTATATAATAACTCTGGGATACAATACCTTGAATAAACCTTGACTGTTTGCCTCAACTAATCATTTTTATACCTCTGCTAACACTTTAAAAATAAAAATATTTTTACAAGTGTTATTGTTTTTTTACCTCTATACACTATCTTCTATTAAGACTCCAAGTTTTGACAACTTGGTTGGTCACCTTGGGTAACATGTACCTCGGATACTTTATTCATCATTGCATCGGCTAACTCCAACTTGTAAATTTCTTCGAAATTTCAACAAGTGTTAAGCCCATTTTTTGAAAATTTTAACCAGTGTCAAACTCTTAAGTTTGTTCATCACTCCAGCTCCCTGCCCCCTAATGCGAACCTAAGTTCTACTTAAGTTCACATTAAGCATGTGACTATGGTCTTTTGTCGAAGTTAGATTCAAACAAAGGCTTCCCGAGGTGTTTCAACCTTGGTTTCTCTGTTAATGAACTTAGTTCTATTATGAGTTTGACTCTACCAATATGGCAAGTCTAAGTTAATTCAACTTAGTTCAACTCCATTATATGCAAGTATAATTCAACTCTGCCATATGCAAGTATAATTTGACTCTCCCATATAATAAGTCTAAGTTATTCGTCATATTTCATTCAGAAACATCGCTAACTTAGTTCAACTCTATTATATGCAAGTATAATTCGACTCTGCCATATAATAAGTCTAAGTTATTCGTCATGTTTCATTCAGAAACATCGCCAACTTAGTTCAACTCTATCATATGCAAGTATAATTCGACTCTCCCATATAATAAGTCTAAGTTATTCGTCATGTTTCATTCAGAAACATCGTCAACTTAGTTCAACTCTATCATATGCAAGTATAATTCGACTCTGTCATATAATAAATCTAAGTTATTTGTTATGTTTCATTCAGAAACATCGCCAACTTAGTTCAACTCTATCATATGCAAGTATAATTCGACTCTTCCATATAATAAGTCTAAGTTATTCGTCATGTTTCATTCAGAAACATCGCCAGCTTAATTCAACTCTATTACATGCAAGTATGATTCGACTCTCCCATATAATAGGTCTAAGCTATTCGTCATGTTTCATTCAGAAACATCGCCAACTTAGTTCAACTCTATTATATGCAAGTATAATTCGACTCTCCCATATAATAGGTCTAAGTTATTCGTCATGTTTCATTCAGAAATATCGTTCAACTCTATTATATACAAGTATAATTCGACTCTGCCATATAATAAGTCTAAGTTATTCGTCATGTTTCATTCAGAAACATCGCCAACTTAGTTCAACTCTATTATATGCAGGTATAATTTTACTCTACCATATAATAAGTCTAAGTTATTCGTCATGTTTCATTCAGAAACATCGCCAACTTAGTTCAACTCTATTATGTGCAAGTATAATTCAACTCTACTATATAATAAATCTAAGTTATTCATCATATTCACCATAGGAACATCGCCATAAGACATTTCGGTCTTATCGCACAATCATGGATTTCAACAACATTTTCACGCTTTTTTACAAAGGTTTCGACATCCTTTTGCATGTAGGGTCACCAAAATCCCTATGATATAGCTCTATGGGCAAGGGATCTGCCCCTTGCATGGATCTCGTGTAAAAAGTCTTCAACCTGGAAAGGATGTACACATCGCAATAGAGGTCCAGTAAAAGTCCTTATGTGCAGATGGCCTTCTACCGACATGCAGAACCTGGCTGACTTCAGTCTGACCTTGTGTGCTTCTTTTTTGTCTTATGGGATTTGGGATCTGCTCATTTAGGTTGAGCTGTTGTCTTCTCGGACTTACTCATCTAGGCGTAGTTCTTGTCTTATGGGATTGGGATCCGAGATCTGCTCACTTAGGCTAAGCTCTTGTCTTCTCGGACCTAATCATCTAGGCCGAGATCGTGTCTTCTAGGATTTGGGATCCGGGATTTGGAATCCGGGATCTACTCACTTAGGCTGAGCTCTTGTCTTTTACTCATCTAGGCTGAGATTTTGTCTTCTGGGATCTGGGATCCGGGATATAGAATCTGGGATCTGCTCACTTAGGATGAGCTTTTGTCTTCTCGGACTTACTCATCTAGGCCGAGATCTTGTCCTCTGGGATCCAGGATTTGGAATCTGGGATCTGCTCACTTAGGCTGAGCTCTTGTCTTTTGGGATTTGGAATCTAGGATCTGCTCACTTAGGCTGAGCTCTTGTTTTCTCGAACCTAATCATCTAGGCCGAGATCTTGTCTTCTAGGATTTGGGATCCGAGATTCTCACTTAGGCTGGGCTCTTGTCTTCTCGGACCTAGTCATCTAGGTCGAGATCTTGTCTTTTAGGATCTGGGATCTAGGATTTGGAATCCGGGAGCTGTTCACTTAGGCTGAGCTCTTGTCTTCTCGGACCTACTCATTTAAGCCGAGATCTTGTCTTCTGGGATCTGGAATCCTGGATCTGTTCAGCTATTGTCTTCTCGCACCTAATCATCTAGGTCGAGATCTTGACTTCTAGGATATGGGATCCGGGATCTGGAATCCGAGATCTGCTCACTTAGGCTAAGCTCTTGTCTTCTCGGACCTACTCATCTAGGTTGAGATCTTGTCTTCTAAGATCTGGGATCTGAGATCTTGAATCCGAGATCTACTCGCTTAGGTTGAGCTCTTGTTTTCTCGAACCTAATCATCTAGGCTAAGATCTTGACTTCTAGGATTTGGGATCCGGGATCTGGAATCCGGGATCTGCTCACTTAGGCTGATCCTTCTATACTTGAAATTCATCTCCTTGGGAACGCTCATGCCCCCTGTCTTTGCATCCCTTTTGGAAGAGTCTTCATTCCGTTAATGTTGACACATTTTCCATCTTCACTAAACCAGTCGTTACCGACATGTTGATCTTACACGATAATGGCCATCTATTCTAACTAAGTTTTCACAGACGGCGCCAAATTATGTGTGTCAATTTCCGACCACACTGCCAAATAGGTACTTAGTAGGAGAATACCGGCAGAATAAATTGAGCCCGAACGACCTGTCAACAAAAAGATAAGATTCTGGTGATGGTTCGTCCATCGGGGGCACTCCGACGATGAAGTCAGTTATCTCTCAAAGATAGCAAAAATGCTTAACTCACTATTCAGAATACAAAAGACGTACCTTAGACCCACGAGGGTGACTATCTTTTATAGTGGTTAGTAACCTAATCCTAATAAAAGTCTAGCTTCAATGGACTCTAGCTCAATGCTAATCCTGGACTTTCAGTTAGATTGGGATAAACTCTCTAAGAATCTTATCTTTATCCAAACTGAAGTCCTCTCTCATTCTAGGACTCTTGTCCCTTATCCGCTTATTTCGGATTTCGGTATCTTCACAGACAATCTCGGCCTAGCTGAGATCCTTTCGGCATTATATTTAAGACTCGTGGCACCTCGGCTAGCACTCCGGTACCACCTCGGCCACGTGTTGTCATTCAATAATTATGTCCCCTTAAACTCATATCCTCTTCTTTTTTTTTTGCTTTACTTCTGTTCTTTTCTTTTCTTTTCTTTTTTTTCCTTTCATTTGCTTTTTTTTTTTTCCAATGTAATTTATTCTATTTTTTTATTAAGAGTTATTATTTTTTATATAAGTAAAAGTTTGTAAAATAAGACTATTAAATACAAAAATAAGAATGTAATTTTTTAAATGTCCAGATATAATGTAATTGGATTAAATATTAGGTATAGTGTAACTTACCCTAGTTTTTTCCCTCTTTTTCGACCGAATATTCGATCCTATAAAAGGCAAGGTCGGAGTAAGTCGTCATTCTCGATCGTCCGTATCTTCTAAAAAATTGCTCTCTGCGTGGTGCCCTCTTCCGTCTTCGCTGTCTGCAGATGGCTTCATCCACTGTCAACCGATGGTTGAGGCCCGAGGTTCGCATCCTTCTCCCCTGGATCTCTGCTCTCTCTCTCTCTCTCTCTCTCTCTCTATATATATATATATATATATATTCATGTCGATCTATGTATGAGTAGAGATCTGTCTTGTCTTGATGGAGGATTTGAGCTATATTTTTGGAGATTCTTGATTTAGTGGATAAGATCTGATGGTGAGATGTGTATGTGTGTAGGTTTATCCATTGTTTGCGGCCGTAGGGGTAGCTGTAGGGATTTGCGGATTCCAGTTGGTGCGCAACATATGCATCAATCCTGAAGTCAGGTAATTCTCTCTTCTCCCAATCTGTTGTTGTATGTAATATTTTGTATCGTTATCGATTTTGAAATTTAATTTAATTTTTTACTCTTGTTTTTGGTCTTTGGGATTAGATGTATACCAGATGCAAATATATATAAGCAATCTCATTATAAAATTTTATTTGTCATCTTAATTGCAAATAAATTTAATCCTAAATACTTCATCTGAAGATTTTTTTTAGGTAAATTACGCTGAGGTTTAGAAAAAAAATATAATTGGCTTCATAAGTTTGGCATAATTACACGAATCTCCCATTTTATTAAAGCTAAAATGATTGGAACTAATATAGATGATGTGAAGATATAGTGTGACAAACATGGTACAATATACATCATTTTTTTTATTACTCTTACCAATAAAAATTGGGTTCAGTGATGTGAATTAAAATTTCAAGGGTATCTAATGCAATTATACCAAACTTGTGGAGCTTGATGCATTTTCTTCAGACCTCAAGGAAGGTTAGATAATTTACCCTATTTTTTTTTGTTTTGTTTCACCAATTGCCCTGATATTGGTCACGGTATATATAGAAATCATAGCAACAACACATACATGAACAGTATTAGAAGTTGTTAAGTGACGCTATCATTTAGATGTTAAACATGTTCAACATTGATATGAAACACAAGTTGCATGGATAATCAAGGAAAGAAAATGGTAAGATTACTTTTAACATGTTTTATCATGGATCTATGGTCCAGTTTGCCACACCCATCCTACTTAGCTATATTATGGTGGCAATAGTCAAAAACTTAGATTTTATGTTTATTCCTGGTTACACTTGTTTCTACTGAACTAGACGCTTCCCCTCTAAGTATTCCTGGGTTCTGTCTCTGGTTGTGGTGGCAGTGCAGTTGAAGTTGCTGAAATGGTGGTGTCAAGGGTGCGTGTAGTGTTGGCATGTTTGTGAAGTTGTACTGACTAAACTAGTAGCCAGTTAACGATTTTTTCCCATGTTGCCATGTCAAAACTGAAATATTTAAAAGTTAGGAAGCATAGATACGGGTACGATACGATACGGATACGGCGATACGACAAAATCTGAAAAAGTAAGATACAGATACGGTGGGGATACGTTCATAAAAAATGTTATTTTTACAATTTTTAGTAATGTATCATACATAAAATTAAAACTTCAACAATTTTTAGTAAACCATCATCAATTCAATTAAATTTTAACAATTTCAACAATATAGCATCACCCATAACAACCATAATGCAATTCAAATTAAGGAGAAAAAAATTTACGAAGTTCATTTATTTATCAATGAGTTTATTTATTTATTTATCTAGACGAGACAGAGTTTATAAGTTTATAAGTTTACAAAAATAAATAAATAAATAAGAGGTAATGTACGGAACCAAAAATAAATAAATAAATAAATAAGAGCCCAAAAAAAAAAAATTCATCGAAGGAGGTGATTCAGTGAAGAAAGGAGAGATCAATGAAGAAAGAAAGAAGAGCTGCTGAGCAGCGAAGAAAGAAGAAGAGTCTTCGAATTTGAAGAAAAAAAAACAGAGCAGCAGACCTGGAGTGGAGTCGCAACGAAGAAGAGAGAGGGAGGAGAAGAAGAAGAAGAGGAAGAGGAAGAGGAAGCAGTGTACCTAGAGTCGTTTGCCCAGGTCAGGCTTCGTTTGATATTGAATGATTGAATCTCTCTTTCCCCAGGTCAGTCTTCTTCGTTTGCCCTAATCGCAGTAGGTGAAGCTTCTCTATTGCTTTACTTCTTTGCTTCTCTCATTTTAGGTCCCGATTTTGCTTTTAAGTTGCCTAAAAAATCCTTCAAATCTGGATCGCATGGAGTCGCGATCCAGATGCGATCCTACCGATCCCGTCGATCCCACAACGATCCCACCACGATCTTACGATCCGGATCGAATAGTGTATATTGAGTCGTAGGATCGTACGATCCTACGATCCGGATTGCGATCTTAACAACCTTTCTCTTGCCTCCAGCAAGTTTCCCACTTCCTCCGCCACTATCTCCGCGTGGTGGAGTGCTGATCTGCGAGTACGCTGTATAATTGGTCTAGCAGTCGGGTGGACATTCAGTTGGTGACAGATGAAGTTTGGGTCAATGCTAGGCATGTCGTATGGTGTCCATGCAAACACTTCGATATTAGAGGTTAAGAATTCTATGATCTCTATTCTCTCAGTGCTAGACAAAGACGAGCCGAGCAAAAAGAACTTTTCTGGGTTCTTTTCGTCTATCCTTATCTCTATCAAGTCTTCCACTGCCTTCTGTTCTGCTGCCTTGCCAACACCCGCAAATAGTTTATTGCTCTCTGGCTCTTCTACCATGTGTACATATCCTTTTGCAGTCCGGCTGCTGTTTACTGTGACGAAGCATTGTTTTGACATGATTTGGTCTCCCAAGACCTCTTCAATTACCTCGGCTTTGTAGGGGAATCGTAGTGCTTGATGGTAGATTGACGCTACCGATCGCATGGCGTGCAACCATGTTCTTCCCAGGATTATGTTGTAAGTGGAAGGGACATTCAATACTCAGAATTTCACTTGTTTCGTCATGGTCCCAGCTTTGACTGGGAGGATTATCTTGCCTACTGGCCATTCTGGCATCGAGTTAAAGCCAACTAGGGGGGGATGTTGCAGGGGCCAAGTCTTTGTCCTCTAGTTTCAGCTGTTTGAAGGTTTCATAATACATTATCTCGCACGAACTTTCTTGGTCAATCAGGATTCGCTTGATGTCGAAGTTCTTGACGTGTAAAGTTACCACCAGTGCGTCATTGTGAGGGCAATGTAGCCTTGCTAGGTCCTTGTTTGAGAAGGATATGACGTTCGTAGCCTCTGTATTGCCCTTTTTGATGGCGGGTTGTGCACTTAGTACCTCTTTCAGGTGCTCTGCCTTCTTTATCATCCCCCTGAGTTCACATACCCGCTCAGGTTCAATGATCCCATGAATAACATTGATTATGCCTTGGGGTGGTCCGTCCACCGGCATCCTGTTTGGCCTGTTGAGGTCCTGGGGGGCTGGCTGTGTTCCTCCTTCAATATACTAGGGCTGCTCGCGGGTCGGTTTTGGCCGGGTGCGGGTCAAAACCGACCCGACCCGCACTTATGCGGTTGGGGAAAAATGGACCCGCAACCGCCCGCGATGCGGTTCGCGGTTTGTGCGGGCGGGTGCGGTTCGGTTTGCGGTTTAGTTTTTTATTTTTATTTTTATTTTTTTACTTAAGCCAAATTGATTTATTAGTTTTATGATTTGAATGAATGGTCTGCTGGAATACAATATTTACTTTGGTTTGGTTTCCTAGAACTAGATAAAGATATTTCAGAATGCATTATGTGTTCGAAAAAAACAATTCTAGTTGGACGAGGATGCCATCAGGTCCCAAAAGCATTAATGATACTTACTCTTGTCTGTCTTACAGCATTTGATACAGTATGTGTCTCTGGGTAATCGTCATTAAAGTTGGGGGAAAAAAAGACTATGATTGAAGAACTAAAATATGTTTTTTCTTCTTATCGATTTATTAAAGGAAACAGAAAAATATATACTTTCCAAATATTGGGTTGGATGATTTGATTTTTGTGCGATGAGCACCTGTGAAATTGCACTGTATATTTTTGGGATAAACATGGGCTACATGGCTTCCATTAATGGAGTTGGACTGTAATTTAGGATGACACTAATATTGACTCACCTTTTAATGTTTTACGTGTTCATCCTGCATATGTTTGCTATTAGAAAGTCATATGACATTGTAACTCTAGGAAAACATTAATTCATTGTTTCTTTCTCCAAATCAAAAAAAAAAAATAATAATAACTAATTATTTTTTCTTTAAAAAAAAAAAAAAAGATGCAGGTTGCGGGCGGGTCGGGTTCGACCCGAACCCGATCTTTTGCCAATTTCTTGACCCGCACCCGCCCGCCTACCTACATCGAAACCGCCCAAAACACTGCGGGTAGGGTAGGGTCGGGCGGTTTGTGCGGGCGGGTGGGTTTGTTGCCCAGCCCTATGGTCTAGGTGACCAGCAGCTACTAATTCTTCTAGATGTTGCCTCAGGGGTGTGCAATTTTCAGTTAGGTGCCCCTTCTCATCATGGAAGGTGCAGCGGGACCTCTCGTCGTAACCCTTTTGCGCTATTCCCAACTTGGCTGGCCGTCGAACGAAGGGTTCATTCTTTATCTCGCTGAGAATTCGGTAGATGGGTTTATTGAACACGGTGGTGATGGCAGTGCGAACTCTTAACCTCCTTTTTTTTGGGTCCTTCCTGTCGACTCGCTTGCCTCGCCCATTCCTGTTTGGTTGTTGTACCGTGTTGACTTTTGCTGCAGTTTTTTTGTCTGGCATTACTGTTGAGCTAGATTTTGCTTTAGCCCGGGCGCTATCTTCCTCTACGCAGATATGTTGGTGTACCCTCTCTATTAGGGCCTCTATTGTGAGGGGTGGCGTCACAGTAATTGAGTCCCTTAACTTGTTTCCGACTGGTAGATCCCTTTTGTATTGCGCGATGGCGAGATTTGTGAGGTAATCTCCTATCTGGTTGAAAGTCTCCCAATTCCGACCATTGTAGGATCTCAACGTTTCCTTGTCGCCCATCTCAATGGAGAGTAGCCGATCGATCTCCACTGGTGTCTTGGTGTTCGCTCTGAACCTAGTCACGAACGCCTCTGCCAATTGTGCCCAAGAGGCGATGCTGCCTTCTGGTAGCCTTTTGAACCAGGTTAGACCTAGGTCGCCAAGGCTAGATGGGAACAGGATACACATCAGGGCCTTATTCTTCCGGTACACTACCATAACCTGATGAAAGTGGCGAAAGTGCATGTAGGGTCTGTCTTCCCCTCATAAGTGGTGAATTTGGGCTGGTGGAAGCCCGAAGGTAGTGGTGTTATATATATATATATCTTATTTGATTATCTTCTTGACTTTTGTTCTCCCCTTTGGTCTTCCTCTCTCTGTCCGTGTCTACCCTCATCTCTCAACACCCATGTTTGTTTCAAACTCTCTGTCACTCTTCATCTCTCGATGATGCTGAGATGATAATCTAGGGGATGATCATGATGTCTGTGCTTCCTATCCATCTCCAGACCAGAGAGAGAGAGAGAGAGATCGAGCGAGAGGGAGCGAAAGGAAAAGAGAGAGGGACGAACCTGATCGTGATCGACGAGCGTCGAGCTGTTGTTCGTGAACCTGATCGACGAACCTGAGCGAGAGACGACGACGAACTCCTCCTCCTTCGCCGCTGCTATTCGACCTAGGTAAGTTTGGTTGATTAATTTTTTTTTTTTGTTTTATTTTACCTTATTTTGACATTTTACATTTTGACCCCCAGTTTAAGTTTTTGAATTTTTTTTTTCCCGCCGTATCCTTGCGTATCCCGATCGTATCCTTGCGTATCCCAAACGTATCCGAAATTCAAAAATTAAAAAAAAAAAAAGGATATTTTTTTCCTGTATCTGATACGTATCCCGCTGTATAGAGTGCGTATCCGTATCCGATACGTATCCGATACGCGTACGGGGCCATTTCAGAGTATCCGTGCTTCATAGTTTAAAAGGAACAAAAAGGTTGTTTCATTTATTTTAGAGAGAAAAAATAGAAACATGGGCTTATCCTTGATCAGAGTTTGGATTCATCTTTGACACCTCTCTCCATTGCCAATAATGGATTTTATGCCAATGCAATTCAAGCATTTGGTTTAGTTATGATATCTTTGTGGGAAAATGATAAAAATTCAATTATTGTGGTTTCATCTACTTTTCCTTTCTTTTAGACCCCGTTTGGGGACTTATCTTTTTAGCCAAAAAGTCAAAAAGTTATCATTTTAGCCAAAAAGCCAACAACTCATACCAAAAAGTCAAAGATTCTCTTTTCTCTCTACTTTTTGCACATCTTTTCGTAATTAGCCAAAAAGTCATCCCAAACATATAAGTTTTTTTTACCTACCTTTTTAGCCAAATAGCCAAAAAGTTACTAAATTAGCCTGTTCCCAAACGAGGCCTTAACTATTTAAAGGTTCACATCCCTCTGTGACTATGATATTCCCATGGGAGAGAGAGCTTGGGAATGAGATTCTTGCTTCGTACGACATTTTCATTCCATCTTGGAATGCTATTCAGGAATCACATTTCATTCTTGAAATCGTCCACGTGATGGAATGAAGAAGACCTCGAATGAATAAAGAAGGCTTAGAATATTCCCCTTCTCCATTCCTGCCACACAATCTAAATGGTTGGTCAAAATCATGCTGATGCATTTAAATTTGTTGCGTCTAATTCTGTCACAGAAACATAGGAAGAAATTTTGTACATGTTCTTGTTATACAGATGCCCCCAGAAGTTCTTGTCACAAGGAACATGTTCCTTCTTCATAGTGAAAAACTTGCAGTTGCTAAAAGCACTTCAAGAACTTGTGTTTGGTTTGTGTTTTTCAAAAAATTTTGAGAAAAATTCTCTACAAATAAGTTTTCAAAAGTAATCAAACCAAACAAATTTTTTCAAAATTTTTTTTCAAAACTTGTTTGGTTTACAAATTTTCCAAACAAATCTCTCTCTCATACACATCAAATCAATCACTTTTCCAAACTCTCTCTCAAAATAATTTTTCAAAACATCTTTTGAAAAAAAACCAAACCAAACAAATTTTCGTACTTTTTATCTCAAAACATGTTTCTCCAATACAAACCAAACAAGGCCACATCGTAGAAGTCATAGTCTCGTGTTTTTCCCTTTATGGGCAAATATTGTTGAACACTTTAATTTGTTACGATTTGAACTTTGAATGGAAAAAAAGTGGCATGTTTTCTTTCTTACACTGAGAATATGTAGATAGAGCATGAAGGTGGCATTGGATTGAGATGAAACTACTATTTTGTGGTTCAGCTAACAATTTTTTTTCTTTCACAAAATAATAGGGTGAACAAAGAAAAAAGGGCTGCAGGTGTGCTGGATAACCATGCAGAAGGAGAGAAGTACGCCGAGCATTTTGTTCGGAAGTTTGTCCGCAACAAGTCTCCAGAGATCATGCCAGCCGTCAACAAATTCTTTACAGACCCAAACTAATGTGTTTCTTGATCATTGAGGCTTGTTTTCATTGTTTACTATGCTAGTGTGGGAATGATTTTGATTGAATTAGAAATTGGGACCTTTGAATATGCTTTACACTCGTATGGTAATGGTACAAGCTTGAATAAGTTTGATGGATACACTTGCCATTGTATGTTTAAAACTGAAGCAACTATATTGATATAATTTTCGTTTGATACTTTTGTTCTGTTTTTTTTTTCTTTTTCTTTTTTCTTTTTTCTTTTTTCTTTTTTCTTGGAAATTCATGTGTTGTTATTCTTAGTTTTCATTGTATATGAAATGCTCTCAGAGTCTCAACTTCAACTGCATCAATGCCCACAAAACATAGTTGATGTCTAGTCCGAGGCTCACCTAGGGTACCCGACTGATCATATTGAATAATATAGAATAATTCATAGAAATGGTCATAAGAAACATGTTTTGAACTTAAAACCTCTGAAGGGAAACGTGTTGAGCTCTTTACTGGGTAGTTTAATTTTGGAAAATTGTTTTTGGTGTTTTTTTTTTGTTGATTTTTTCCTCCTTACGTTTAGATACATTTAAAAAATAAAATATTTATAGAAAATAATTTATTATATAATAGTATTTTCATTGTCTTTGGTGAATTTTTTTAAAGATAGATTACACTTTATACTCTTACACTTTATATTAAATCTCACTTTGGTTGTACACAAATTTATGATAGTTAATCCTATGCACTTCTGGTTAAATCTTATTTTGGTCCACGTACATGAAATCGTGACAATTAAGCTCTAGTACTTTTGCTTAAATTGTGATAAGTATTAATCTCTCTTTTCTGTTACTTCATTTTTAAATCTTTAACAAAATTCAATCATGTAACAAAAATGTGATTACCAAATGAGGGTAAGAAAGAAAAATCATTTATCTTTTTCACCAATATATTTTGTCCTACGTGAGAGTTATATAACATTATATATATATATATATATAATTAAAAAAAAATCGTGACAAAAAATTAAAGGTTGTGTCACCGTGTCGAACAAAATTTCATGATTTCTATTTATGCAAAACTCTAATTCTTCTTCTTAAACGTTCACAATTTATGTTTTGTTTTAGTCTAAGAGCATCTCCAATGGTTCACCAAATTTTTCATCAAATCTGAGTAAAAAAAGGATCATTTTCTCAGTCTAATATAGACTGCTCCAATGGTTCTCATCAAAGCAGGGGTCCACAGGTGGGTTGACTGGTTAGTGTATTTTTTATTTATTTATTTTTTTACCTCTTTGAACTTTTTGACCTGTTTGAACCAACTTATTTCCAAGGGAACTGGTCAACCAGTTGGTCAACCGGCTGGTTGACCGGTTGGTTTCCTCCAACGGTCACACACAGTAAATTGGTGAAATCTTCCTCCTGTTCTCACTTTGATGAAAAATTTGGTAAATTCTCGTTTTGATACAAATTTGATGAAATCATTGGAGCTGCAAAAAGTGACTTTTTCACTAAATTTCAAATCTGATGCAAAGTTTGGTGAAGCGTTGGAGATGGTCTAAGTCATAATTAAATGTAAAGTGTGTATTAGTGAAAAATGTAAACGATTTTCCTCTTACTCTCATGTCGCAATCACATTCTTATCACATGACTAGATTATGTTAAAAATTTAAGCAATTGAGTAAGAGAAAAAGGACATTAACACTTACGTAGACGTTAAGATGAGATTTGACAAAAAAATACAAGGAATTGACTGTCACAATTTCCTGTGTAAGGACCAAAATAAAATTTGCCTAAAAATACAAGGGGTTGACTGTCATAATTTCATATATAAGGACCAAAGTGAGATTTAATCAGCAATACAAGAGGTTGACTATCATAACTTCATGTGTAAGGGTCAAATTAAGATTTGGTACAAAATGTGAAAGTGCAAAATATAATTTACCTTTTTTTTTTTTTTTAAGGGTAAATTACAAATACGCCTCTTGAGATTTAATTAAAATGCAAATCGCTCCCTGTGATTTTGAAAATTATTCCACCCCCTGGAGTTTCTAATTCCATAACAAATCATCTATTTTATTAATAAACATTCAAAGTCAATTAACAATTTTTAATGATATTAGAAATATGTTTCAATTAATAATTTAGATAATTTTATTATTATATAAGAGAGCAATTGTAAATTTTATTTTTTAATTAATTTTGTTAAATAAAAAATTCTAACAAAGAAATATTTGTAATTTTTCAAATCATAAAGAATAATCTATACTTTAAACAAACAAAGAATGTATTTGTAATTTACCCTTTTTTTTTAATATTTTAGTTTTTTTTTAACTTTTAGATGCACTTTTTCATATTTTTCACAAAAATATTGAAGTGCATTTAAATTTTTTTTTTAAAAATTAAAATAATTGAAAAAAAAACTCAATATTTGAATTTGAAAACTAAACAAGATGAGGAGATTTCAGTTTTGTAATGCATATTAATACGAAATCAACAGATGATACATTTTGAAATGTGTATTAATAAGAAATCGACAGATGTAATACTATCGTTTTTATGCCGGTAAAAACTAGGGCTTAACAAAGAATCCGTGAAATCCGTAATCTGATCCAATCCAGTCAAATCCAGTAGATTTGGATTGATTTTTTTGAATCTGTGGTTCGGTTTCAGATTGAAAAATTAAAAATTCATAGTTCACAAATTGATTCTGGATTAAACCTCACAATTTCAGATTGAAACTGATTCAGATCGTATACAAATAATCTATATTTTTATAAAATTCTTACTACAAAATGTTGAAACTCTAAACAAGAACTTTGTTAGAAATATATATATATATATATATATATATTATTACCCAATAATGTGCAAAGAAGAGCCAGAAACTTCTCAAAACACGAATACTTGCTAAACATATTCATCATTGAGGCATTACTTACATGGTCATCCATCCAAGCTATGAAACTAGGAGTATAAATTACAAACATGGAATTGAAGAAAGAAAAATCATCAATGCTATAATAAATTGAAGCTGGCTGCTCTGGCTGGTGCATCTAAAAAATGCATCCAACAAGAAGCCATAAACTCATCAAGAATCAGTGGAGTTATAGGGTTTCCCTGTTGAACATGTGCGTCGTTATGTGAGTATGGCGTCAGGATACTTCTTGAATTTGCTTCTTCCCGGCAACTTCATCATACCATGATTTCCATGCCTCAACATAATGACCAAAGAGGTCACTAAGAGCTGCCACACCATCAAGAAAACCATCTTCTACATCATTCAAATGCTGCAGTTGTATGAAGTTTATGATATGAGTGTACATGACATGCAGATCCACATGAGTTCGTGATGCACACACTATACATGATCCATGACCAAGCCAAAAACAATCCAGAAAGAAGGATATCAAACACCAAAACTGCTTTGCAATTTTAAACTAGGGATACTCCAGACTATTGGCAATTAAAATACTAAACTAATGCAAGAGAGGCAATAAAAGTGGTGTGTGGCCAAGTGACTCTTCCTAAACATTGTAACTTGGGCATGGACACAGAATAATAGGGATTGCTGGTTTTAAAAAATAACAGTAACAAAACAGAAGTAAAGATCAACACACAATTTGATAGCTAGTATATCTCAGAAGCATTGTTAGTAATTGGGTCACTACTTGAAGTGATTTCATAACAAAACAAAAAAGGTTGAACAAAAAAAATCTGTGATATTTTCATACTTAATCAACCCTATGAAATGTCGTTACGATTTGCAATACTGAACTACATGCCACATATAACCCCAACAGGATACCAAAAAGAACTTGAAATAAAAAAATTTAAATGTACCTTGGTTGCGATATAGAGGACGATAAGAAGAAGCCAGGTCCTCCAAGCCTTGAACTCGCCTCGCATTTTTGTTTTCTGAATCTCCTACCTTGGGCATGTTGGCTGGAGTGAAAGGGCCAAACACAAAACCCTTGGAGCTATGTTTCCCCTGCTGCTCTGTTGAGTTCCTACCATGTTCATCTTTCAAATTGCTGCGTCTCTTATGCGTTGGCATATCTGCATTCTGGTTCGAATTACAATCAAGTGCAGAATCTGTTTTATATTTCTTTGGAAGAGTGTTGGTGATCTCAGTTCCAAACATTCTTTTTCTAGACTCGTTCAAATCCAAAGAAGTTGCATGTCCATTCTTTGGACTTCCTTTCAACCCCAACCACCTGAATGCTGGTTTCCTGCTTTCTGGGTGATGAGTCTGCAAATCACATAGATGAGAAATTATGAAAGATGTTCTTTCTTATGCTTCTTTCCATTTACTAATTCATGATTTTCTGAAATGGATTTTACCTTTTCAATGAGATTCATGGATGAAAAGACATTTGCAATGTCATAGAGGCGCCTGACTTTTGCTGCAGAATTATCTTAGGTAGACAGTGTCAGTCAAATCAATACAATTGTTTTTTCTCCCTCCAATAAAATAAATAAGACTAATGCTGTGTTTGGTTGGAGAATTTAAAAAGGGATTTGAAAAGAGAAATGAAAAAGATAAGTAAAATATGAATAAAACATATCTATATTTTACCTAATTTCACACATTTTTTCCTTTTCCCTTTCCAAATTCCTTCTCAAATCCCCCAACCAAACACAAGGTAAAGATGAGTTAAAGGTCAATTACTTCTCATAGCTGTTGGATCATGGATGTCACCAAGCAACGAGGCGAGTTCAAGGCTTGGAGGACTTGGCTTCTTCTTATCGTCCTCTATATCGCAACCAAGGTACATTTAAATTTTTTTTATTACAAGTTCTTTTTGGTATCCTGTTGGGGTTATATCTGGGATATAGTTCAGTATTGCAAATCGTAATGACATTTCATAGGGTTGATTAAGTATGAAAATATCACAGATTTTTTTTGTTCAACTCTTTGGGCGTGTTTGATTGGGGAGATTGGAGGTGGGACTATCCACTATTTGGATTACAATCCAAATAGTGTTCATTATCCGCTGTTTGATTTTTTTTTAGTCCACCGGACATGGAGTCCGGCCGGACTCCATGTCCGGTGGACTAAAAAAAAATCAAACAGCGGATAATGAACACTATTTGGATTGTAATCCAAATAGTGGATAGTCCCACCTCCAATCTCCCCAATCAAACACGCCCAAAGAGTTGAACAAAAAAAATCTGTGATATTTTCATACTTAATCAACCCTATGAAATGTCATTACGATTTGCAATACTGAACTATATCCCAGATATAACCCCAACAGGATACCAAAAAGAACTTGTAATAAAAAAAATTTAAATGTACCTTGGTTGCGATATAGAGGACGATAAGAAGAAGCCAAGTCCTCCAAGCCTTGAACTCGCCTCGCATTTTTGTTTTCTGAATCTCCTACCTTGGGCATGTTGGCTGGAGTGAAAGGGCCAAACACAAAACCCTTGGAGCTATGTTTCCCCTGCTGCTCTGTTGAGTTCCTACCATGTTCATCTTTCAAATTGTTGCGTCTCTTATGCGTTGGCATATCTGCATTCTGGTTTGAATTACAATCAAGTGCAGAATCTGTTTTATATTTCTTTGGAAGAGTGTTGGTGATCTCAGTTCCAAACATTCTTTTTCTAGACTCATTCAAATCCAAAGAAGTTGCATGTCCATTCTTTGGACTTCCTTTCAACCCCAACCACCTGAATGCTGGTTTCCTGCTTTCTGGGTGATGAATATCAGCTCAATGAGAGAAGAACCCTAGTCAGAAGAGAAGGAAATACAAAAGACCATACTCCAACACTCTCTAATATGTTGACAATATCATAGATTCGCCGCCTTTCAACACCTGAAAGGTATTATATTCAATAAACAGTCAATAACGAGAAGTTGATAGTTTTTTTAAAACAAAAATTGAGATTAGAGACTAGATCCATACCTAATTGGTTTGCAGCATCGTCCAATCCAATCGATTCCACACCATCACGATTATACAACTTTAGAAAACTGAGTGGGGAGAAAATCAAAATCCGCCTATCTATATATATATATATACACACATTGTGACAGAGAGAGAGAGATTTACTTGGTGCACAAGACGCCAAGAGATTTTTCTTTGCGGCTGTAATAGTATGGGTTTCGAGTTTGAGATTCTGGAGGGGGTGGCAGGGACGACATTCTTCAACCAGCTTTTGACGAATCGATCTCCTCTTCAATGAGATGAAAAAGGAGAGTTCTAGTTTGGTTTAGATGGAGAATTTTGAGAGAGAGAGACCGTTAAAAAAGGAGAGGGAGAATTATTGTTTCATTATTGAGAATCACATGGACATGGCGGGTTAATGAATTCAAATGGGGGAATCGGATCTTGGGGGAAGTAGAGAAGTGGGAAAACAGTGGAAATTTTTGAATTGGAGATGAATGCGCGGTAAAAATTTATTTTACCCCGGATCATGTGACCCTTTCCTTACTTGAATCTTGCTATTCGATGGCATAGTTGGTAATTCACATGGGCCCGTTTGTTTGGCCGTTTCAGTGGCCAGATTGAAGTAGGATTGCTGTGTGTGAGTTCTACTTGCTGTATGTTTGGTGTTGTTTGAAAAGGTTGGCTGCACAATTTGGATGACTTGGTAATTCTTTTTTGGCAAGGGATTAACTTGGCTGAAAAATGAGTGAGATTAAGCAAATAATGAGCAGTTTTAGGGCTGGTTTGGGGTGTCCTAAACAAGTGCACTTTTTGTCTTTTTAGACTAAAAAAATTGAGAAAAAAATATGGAGGTTTGGGTTAACTTTTTGACTTTTTATAGAAAAATGTGTATTAAAAAATTGTATAAAAAAAGTGTGTAAGAGATGATTAGAGAGAGGTGGGCCCCAGCCGTACAACCGGCTGAAGTGAATTGGGGTTGGAAATTATTGGCTAATTTTTGTACAAAGCACTGGACGATTTTGTTTGGCCCGTGGGGGTCATCACGGGTCCCATTTTAATAATATGAACCGTTCAATGTGTGTAACTCGTCAAACACTATATATCTATAAAAAATCACGTTAATCGGATATCGATAGCTATCTGATCAGATTTATTTATTTTTCAATCATTAATTATAACACCATCCATTTGTTGTACATAACTGATTTGATCATATAGTTATCGATATCCGATCAATGTGATTTTTTGCAGACATATAGTACTTGACGATTTTTATATAGTGAACGGTTCAGATTATTAAAACGGGACCCGTGATGACCTCCATGGGAGGAACAACGGTGTGTGTAAAAACCACACCCAATCATTTCTTTTTCCTCCACTGCCGCACACATCAATTCGGTGAATAGTGATTTTGAAGAAAATTGATTTTTTAAATTTTTTTTTTTTGGGTGAATAGTGATATCTTTTTGGATTTTGGAGTAACTTTTTGACTTTTTCACTTAAATAAGATAAGCCAAACCAGCCCTAATATTAGAAAATTATTTTTTCAATTTTGTAAGTAATGTTGCAAATTTTTGTTTTTTTGGATAAGATAAAGGGTTCGTTTAAGCCAGCCAGCCAAAAAAACATTCGGCCGGACAAAAAAATAGCTGGCCAGCCAATTTTTTTTTTTTTTTACAATCCCAATTGCACCATTTGTTTTAATATTTATTTTAATATAAAAATAAAATTTTAATTTATTTTATTTAAAAATAATTTAACAATCGCATCATTAACCTTTCTTGCACTATTATCAAAATAAACTCATTTTTACTTAATCCTCTTACTAACAATCCTTTCTAACTTAATCCACCAAACAAGTATGGTCATATCTTCTTTTTTTTGCATTTGTATAAAGAGCTCTAGTTGTTGGTTATGTGAGACTTGCACATAGGTGCGTAGCATTCACCGATCAAATTGATCTAATTTCATAAAATGATTTAAAAAAAAATTAAAATTATAATTGAACTGTTATATTTGCAAAATTACGCCATAATATTCTAGAAAAATTAAAATGGTAATTGAATTGTTACATTTGTGAATTTAGATCATAATTGAACCGTTAAAATTGATTTAGTTTGTTTTAGTTTGATTTTATATTTCTATTTACTGTGTTTGGTTTTAATTTTTTGAAAATTAAATTTTTTATTTTATGTATTTTTTTATTTTTAGTGAATCTTTTCAAAATTTTAAACAATTTTTTATTTTTTTAGACGCACCTTACTTTGATGTATCTAAAAAATAAAATATTTATAAAAAAAGAATAAATACACAAAAATACGAAAAATGAATTATGATTTTTTTTAATATATATATTTGGTATTTAGTGAATTTTTTAAAGATTTTTTCACAAATATTATACTTTTAAGTGTATTTATGTTAGTTGTATTTAAAAATTAAAAAAATTACTTAAAATATTTTTAAAAAATCAGTAAAAACAAAAGAATACGGAAAAATTTCTGTTTTCTGAAAAGTTAATTACGAATCCTAAAACCAAACAAACTAATTAATTTTATATAACAATAAACATGATATATTTTTCATCTTAGTATACAAACCAAAGTAATTAATTTGATTAAATTTATTATAGCTGATCGATTTCATAATCAATACTGGTATTCAAACCCAATGATAAACTTTTGTTTTTGCAATTTTTATATATAATAATGACAAAAATAATAATAAATATATCACGGCGTGGTTGGATTTAAAACAACAACCTGATATGTAACCGAAAATCGGATCAATTTGGATAATTCCATCGTTCAACACACTCACAGAGATTCAAGCTATATTTACCGGTTCAAATGGGCCATTATTTTGGATTTGATGATTTAGAAATTTCTAAATTCTAGTATGTACTTGTGCTAACAATCATATATGATCTACAACAAAGGATTTATGTTTAAGAGATGGTGGGACTCTTGCTATTTTGGGAAATTTTTTAATCCTGAATTTTCTTGTTGCTAGATGGTTTGAAAATTGCTATTAACTTAGCACTTGTTGTTGAAGTATTAGTCTTGTAAAATAAATTGATGTATTATTATTGATTGTCTAAATTCGAGTATGTACTTGTGCTAACAATCATATATGATCTACAACAAAGGATTTATGTTTAAGAGATGGTGGGACTCTTGCTATTTTGGGAAATTTTTTAATTCTGAATTTTCTTGTTGCTAGATGGTTTGAAAATTGCTATTGACTTAGCACTTGTTGAAGTATTAGTCTATTTGTTTTGTTGTGGTACTGTTAGGAACTCTTCTCTTTTGCTTTTATAATTCGAGTATGTGACTTAGAGAACTAATATGTATGTGTTTATATTGACTTCATTTTCATTTGTTTCTTTTTAGTTGGCCGGTCAAATTACAGGTACTACAACCATTTTCTGAATTGATGAGGTATTTACCTAAGTTTCTTAAAATTTGAGTAATTATAAACTTTAAGTGTATAATCTAAAATAATTCTATGTATTAATATTGGTGGGCTGTTTTTTACTGAATTAATGGTATTCTTACTATTAATATATATAAGTTTTTTCCTAACATTCTCCATTCATGTGTGTTGTAGTAGTCATTGTGCTATTATATGTAGCAATGCTAATCAACCCTATGAAATGTCATTACGATTTGCAATACTGAACTATATCCCAGATATAACCCCAACAGGATACCAAAAAGAACTTGTAATAAAAAAAATTTAAATGTACCTTGGTTGCGATATAGAGGACGATAAGAAGAAGCCAAGTCCTCCAAGCCTTGAACTCGCCTCGCATTTTTGTTTTCTGAATCTCCTACCTTGGGCATGTTGGCTGGAGTGAAAGGGCCAAACACAAAACCCTTGGAGCTATGTTTCCCCTGCTGCTCTGTTGAGTTCCTACCATGTTCATCTTTCAAATTGTTGCGTCTCTTATGCGTTGGCATATCTGCATTCTGGTTTGAATTACAATCAAGTGCAGAATCTGTTTTATATTTCTTTGGAAGAGTGTTGGTGATCTCAGTTCCAAACATTCTTTTTCTAGACTCATTCAAATCCAAAGAAGTTGCATGTCCATTCTTTGGACTTCCTTTCAACCCCAACCACCTGAATGCTGGTTTCCTGCTTTCTGGGTGATGAGTCTGCAAATCACATAGATGAGAAATTATGAAAGATGTTCTTTCTTATGCTTCTTTCCATTTACTAATTCATGATTTTCTGAAATGGATTTTACCTTTTCAATGAGATTCATGGATGAAAAGACATTTGCAATATCATAGAGGCGCCTGACTTTTGCTGCAGAATTATCTTAGGTAGACAGTGTCAGTCAAATCAATACAATTGTTTTTTCTCCCTCCACTAAAATAAATAAGACTAATGCTGTGTTTGGTTGGAGAATTTAAGGAGGGATTTGAAAAAAGAAATGAAAAAGATAGGTAAAATATGAATAAAACATATCTATATTTTACCTAGTTTCACACACCTTTTCATTTTTCCTTTCCAAATTCTTTCTCAAATCCCCCAACCAAACACAAGGTAAAGATGAGTTAAAGGTCAATTACTTCTCATAGCTGTTGGATCATGGATGTCACCAAGCAATGCTGTTGCAGCAGTATCAAGGGAAATCAAATCCACCTAACCAAGGAGATGGAGCATAATAAATAAAAGAAAAAACTAACCATTAATGGATCAACAATGTATGTGTCTAGCTTACACTGGAACAAATGAAAAGCTTGATAAAATTCTGAGTAAGAAGCCCCAGAGATTTCTCCTTCCTGTTGTCTGCCAAAATCATAATTAGAAGCCTATGAAGTCTATTTCAATGAGAATGGCAATCTTAATTAACTTCATGTTCCCTCAAAATCAAGTAAAGGACATAGAAACAAATGATAGAAAAGAACAGAGAGAAATTACCAACTTTACATGACGCTGAGGATTTTTCTTGCCTATCAGTTTTAGAATTGGAAGGCCCTCCCTTGTGATTTTCACTTGAAGCCTATTGAAAGAAGCTCATATTTATTATTAGGGAATAATAGGAAATGCATAAAACACCATTTGGTTGCTAAAATGTAGGACAGAAAAAAGAAATTCAAATGAATCAAAATCTCATATTAGATTAAATAACCAGCTAGGTAATCCACAAACTCTAGCCATATACCAATTGGCTGAGTTGAAACCGATTCTTCATAACCCACGACAAAATAACACGAGCTAAAACATTTTTGATTTTCCTTTAATTAACTCAACTTTTCTCAGTACACAAACAGATTGGGGAACTAGAGCTAGGTAACATACATTGGCAGAATGGAAGCAACCTGAGGTGGAAAAGTTCTCCCTCAATGCTTCTTCCTATTAAACAAATCAAAGTAAGGACAGATGTTCAGCAATTTTTCAATCCCATTTTTTATTTTTAACCACTGAAATTTTGAGTACCTTTAGCTGATCTAAAGCCTGAGGGATCGCACCAAAACCCTTCCAAAAATACTGATTCTTTGCTTTTCTTGATAAAACCTGAGAGAATTGATGAATCCAAATGCGTCAAAAAAAAAAAATATATATATATATATATATATATATCAGCTCAATGAGAGAAGAACCCTAGTCAGAAGAGAAGGAAATACAAAAGACCATACTCCAACACTCTCTAATATGTTGACAATATCATAGATTCGCCGCCTTTCAACACCTGAAAGGTATTATATTCAATAAACAGTCAATAACGAGAAGTTGATAGTTTTTTTAAAACAAAAATTGAGATTAGAGACTAGATCCATACCTAATTGGTTTGCAGCATCGTCCAATCCAATCGATTCCACACCATCACGATTATACAACTTTAGAAAACTGAGTGGGGAGAAAATCAAAATCCGCCTATCTATATATATATATATACACACATTGTGACAGAGAGAGAGAGATTTACTTGGTGCACAAGACGCCAAGAGATTTTTCTTTGCGGCTGTAATAGTATGGGTTTCGAGTTTGAGATTCTGGAGGGGGTGGCAGGGACGACATTCTTCAACCAGCTTTTGACGAATCGATCTCCTCTTCAATGAGATGAAAAAGGAGAGTTCTAGTTTGGTTTAGATGGAGAATTTTGAGAGAGAGAGAGAGAGAGACCGTTAAAAAAGGAGAGGGAGAATTATTGTTTCATTATTGAGAATCACATGGACATGGCGGGTTAATGAATTCAAATGGGGGAATCGGATCTTGGGGGAAGTAGAGAAGTGGGAAAACAGTGGAAATTTTTGAATTGGAGATGAATGCGCGGTAAAAATTTATTTTACCCCGGATCATGTGACCCCTTCCTTACTTGAATCTTGCTATTCGATGGCATAGTTGGTAATTCACATGGGCCCGTTTGTTTGGCCGTTTCAGTGGCCAGATTGAAGTAGGATTGCGGTGTGTGAGTTCTACTTGCGGTATGTTTCGGTGTTGTTTGAAAAGGTTGGCTGCACAATTTGGATGACTTGGTAATCTTTTTTGGCAAGGGATTAACTTGGCTGAAAAACGAGTGACGTTAATGTTATGTTTGGTTGGGAAATTTGAGGAAGGATTTGGAAAGGGAAAGGAAAAAAGTGTGTGAAACTAGGTGAAATTTAGGCATGTTTTATTCACATTTCACCTACATTTTCCATTTCCTTTTCCAAATCTCACCTCAAATTCCCTAACCAAACACATCATAAGCAAATAATGAGCAACTTTAGTCTATCCAATCGTCTCTTCCTAACGTCCAGTACTATGTGAATTTTTTGTTTTTTATAAACATAGCCAGCCAGCCAAAAAAACATTCTGCCGGACAAAAAAATAGCTGGCCAGCCAATTTTTTTTTTTTTTTACAATCCCAATTGCACCATTTGTTTTAATATTTATTTTAATATAAAAATAAAATTTTAATTTATTTTATTTAAAAATAATTTAACAATCACATCATTAACCTTTCTTACACTAATACCAAAATAAACTCATTTTTACTTAATCCTCTTCCTAACAATCCTTTCTAACTTAATCCACCAAACAAGTAGGGTCATATCTTCTTTTTTTTTTGCATTTGTATAATGACTTCTAGTTGTTGGTTATGTGAGACTCGCACATAGGTGCGTGGCATTCACCGGTCAAATTGATCTAATTTTATAATATGATTTAAAAAAAAAAATAAAATTATAATTGAACTGTTATATTTTGCAAAATTACGCCATAATGTTCTAGAAAAATTAAAATGGTAATTGAATTGTTACATTTGTGAATTTAGATCATAATTGAACCGTTAAAATTGATTTAGTTTGGTTTAGTTTGATTTTATATTTCTATTCATTGTGTTTGGTTTTAATTTTTTGAAAATTAAATTTTTTATTTTATGTATTTTTTTATTTTTAGTGAATCTTTTCAAAATTTTAAATAATTTTTTATTTTTTTAGATGCACCTTACTTTGATGTATCTAAAAAATAAGATATTTATAAAAAAAGAATAAATACACAAAAATACGAAAAATGAATTATGATTTTTTTTAATATATATATTTGGTATTTAGTGAATTTTTGGGTGGAGGTGGTGTGTAAAACACTTAATTAAAAGGAAGAGAGACATTTGTCAGGGCTAGCTCTTTGTTCTGAGAAAAATGCTTTTTCATTAGGTTTACACAAGAACTTCGGTTGATACTCATTTTCCTCCTTGACAAAAGAAAGTTGGCGACTTTGGGTCTCAACCTCCCAATTTCTATCACCATCTCCCCCAGCATTTACTGATCCGGTGTTTGAACCAGTCCAAGATCCTTCCTTTTGAACTTCTCTCTCTTGGGTTTGCCCACTAAAGGATGATGGATTTGCCTTTGTTGGAACTGGGTTATGCAATGGAAAGCAAGGAAATTGTATGCCTGCATAGAAAGCCCACAATGGCAGAGAATGACCAGAACCAAATTCTGCTGGATTTGGGTGAGGGATATGAGGCAACTTCACAGAACCACTGAAACGCTTGTCCTTCTCAGAGGCGGAGATTGTGAACCGGAAGACTGACACCGTCAGAGGCGACGACAACCGGAGTCGCAAGTTGATTGGTCGGTGCTTGTGGGAATCGCGGTTCACGGACCGAAGGAGAGAGAGGAACAGATTCGATAGATCTAGAAATAATAATAAATATATCACGGTGTGGTTGGATTTAAAACAACAACCTGATATGTAACCGAAAATCGGATCAATTTGAATAATTCCATCGTTCAACACACTCACAGAGATTCAAGCTATAATTACCGGTTCAAATGGGCCATTATTTTGGATTTGATGATTTAGAAATTTCTAAATTCTAGTATGTACTTGTGCTAACAATCATATATGATCTACAACAAAGGATTTATGTTTAAGAGATGGTGGGACTCTTGCTATTTTGGGAAATTTTTTAATCCTGAATTTTCTTGTTGCTAGATGGTTTGAAAATTGCTATTAACTTAGCACTTGTTGTTGAAGTATTAGTCTTGTAAAATAAATTGATGTATTATTATTGATTGATGTCATACAAGATTGTTGTGTATATTACAAGATTGATTTATGTATATTGATTACAACTCCTATATATATAAGAGAAGGTAGCAGATTGTGGTGGTGCTGGTAGGGGGTGAAGTGGAGGTGGTAGGTAGAGTGGGTTAGGTTTAGTGGAGTTGAGTGGGTGTAGTGGGTTAGGTTTAGTGGTACATTAACAAGTCTATTTGTTTTGTTGTGGCACTGTTAGGAACTCTTCTCTTTTGCTTTTATAATTCCAGTATGTGACTTAGAGAAGTAATATGTATATGTGTTTATATTGACTTCATTTTCATTTGTTTCTTTTTAGTTGGCCGGTCAAATTACGCGTACTACAACCATTTTCTAAATTGATGAGGTATTTACCTAAGTTTCTTAAAATTTGAGTAATTATAAACTTTAAGTGTATAATCTAAAATAATTCTATGTATTATTGGTGGGCTGTTTTTTACTGAATTAACGGTATTCTTACTATTAATATATATAAGTTTTTTCCTAACATTCTCCATTCATGTGTGTTGTAGTAGTCATTGTGCTATTATATGTAGCAATGCCTTTGCTTATTACATACTACACAGCCATTGAAATTTCAAAGGTTAAAATTTTTCTGTCTCTTGAGAGTAACTGTTAACACCCTATTCATTGTTTAAAGCAAATTATACTTGTTTCTTGTTTTGTTGGATGTGAGAGTGCCCCATTTTGTTTTTCTTCGATTATTGATTTTATGGGGGATTTGTATATGCTTGTAGGTATATAGGCTTAGGTGCTTTGGTTGTACAAGGTTTATGCCTCCACCTTTCTTTTACGGAATAAATATGTTTGCTCTATAGTTCATTTTGAAGTATAAGAAGGTTATAATTTTGTCCAAATATAGTGGATACTGACACAATTATAAAATGTCTCCATTGTTACTTGAAGAAAGCATAATATGGCAGTTCGGATTATAAGCTTAATTTAGGTAATTACTAATTATAAGTTGACTTTTGTGATGATGGTGGTTGATTGAAGAATGAATATACTTCATCAAGTTCTTGTTGTGTAAATTTTTCTATAGAGCAAGTTGAGAGGACATTTAATTGAGATTTCTAGACAAAATGATAGACGAGAAGATAGAGAGAAAAAAAAAAATATTGCCAAAAATTAGTTTTAATGTTAAGTTAATAAAATTGATTTAACGCATTCTATTCGATTTAGCCTTTTTTCAAATGAGTGGTTGGTATGAATTCTCTCGTCTTTGAATTTTTGTAATCACATAGGTCGCGATCTTTGTGTTTACTATAACCTCTTAATAGATCAATGTCTTTTGTGTATTTTACAGGTTGAGAGCTCTGTTTCTGTTCCTACGGATGGACAATGGCCCAAACACCCTCTGATATGGTCTAGCATCTATCCCATTTTCACACCAAACTATGAGGTAACTATCGTCTATCATTTTGTCTATTTTACAGAAAACTGAGTCACCAATATTTCTATCTTCTAAAACCACAGAGAAATGCAATCTTTCTAATATGACATCAAAATCTATATGATAAAGCATAGTAAGCAAGCATTCCATAGCAAAAGTCAGAGTTCTTGTTTTAACAAAATGATAAATAATAGATGAACAACTCAAATCATATATTAGCCTTCTAAGAAACCTTCTGATTGATTAGAACTTCAGCTCATGCTTTTGTCCCTAGACGTTTTCATTTGGATTTCTAAGATCTTTCTAATATAACATCAAAATCTATACAATAAAGCACAGTAAGCAAGCATTCCATAACAAAAGTCAGAGTTCTTGTTTTAACAAAATGATAAATAATAGATGAACAACTCAAATCATATATTAGCCTTCTAAGAAACCTTCTGATTGATTAGAACTTTAGCTCATGCTTTTGTACCTAGACGTTTTCATTTGGATTTCTAAGAAAATAGTGTTGATCATCATCTTTGGTTTGCCAGGAAAGAGCATTAGGGAAGGCCACTGAAGCCCTTCCTTTGCCAGCATTCTCAAACTGGGCATGGCAAATGCAAAGCCATAGCGTGGTGTTGAAGTCGATTGTGGTTGATATCTTCATAGAGTTTTAATTCATATAATGAACTATGTTGAATTATTTTGATCCTATTTTGAGTTTTAACGCATATAATAAACTATGTTGAAGTGAATTTGGATACTTTGTGTTTTAATTTTTGTAAAATTTTATTTTTTATATATTTTTTGTGGTTTGGGAGTAGAGTGCCTTTGGTGTGTGGATTTTAAAATTTTATTTTATTTTATTTTATTTGATTGGATGACAAATTTAATTTTTGTGCATTTTAAGTTATGAAATTAAATGGTTGCAAAACATTTTCTAAATTGACTTTTAGCGACGAAAATGTGTAGAAGAGAAAGTTATTTGTCCTTTAGCGACCAAAAATAGTTGTCGTTAAAAATGTCATTATTTTGTTTTTCGCGACCAAATTGGGATATTTTGTGGCGAAGTATTAGCGACCAAATATTTAGTCTTCTAAAATCAAACATTTTGTGACAATATATTGTAATTTTTAGTGACGTTTTCAAAAATTTGTCACTAAAGACTTTTCTAGACGCACTTTTAGTGACTTTTTTAGTGACAAATTTAATTTTGTCACAAAAATTATTTTTAGACCAAAATAATGGTTTTAAGGACCAAAATAATTGGTCGCCAAAAGTCTTCTATGTTCTAGTGTATTTTCCTATTAGAATTTTTTATTTAACAGAATTAATTGAAAAAGTAAAATTTATAACTGTTCACCTATACAATAATAAAATTATCTGAATTATTAATTGAAATAAACTTTTAACATTATTAAAAATTGTTAATTAACTTGATGATTTATTAATAAAAGAACCTATTTGTTGTGAAATTAGAAATCTTAGGGGGCATAATATAACTTCTAGAACTATAGGGATAATTTGTAATTTAAGTAAATCTCAGAGGATATTTTTGTAGTTTATTTTAAATTTAAAGAAGTGGGATTGATAATCATTTATAAATTTATATATATTTTTTATAGAGGGAACCCAAGGGAAGTTTGGACGGTTATAATAAGTTATACGGTAAATGAAAAGTTTTAACAGTTAAAATAAGTTATGCATGCTTATTTGAAAAACAAGGTTAAATGAGTTGGTTGGTGTTGGCTACATATTTTGTAAAAGCCAGTTACAGTTCGACACGTGGCAGAGTAAGGGTAATAAAGGAAGGTTATTCAAGCCTTTAATCCCGATCGTACACGTGGCAATAAATATTGATCCTCACATGATCTGAGTAACACTAGATCAATAACGGGATGCAAGATGACATATCTTCAACGGTTACTCATATTCAAATTCAAGTACAAGAGGGAAGCTTAACTGCCAGTAATGGCGTAATGGAGCTACTTGTAAGGAAGCATGATCAGCGATCATGGAGGAGCAGTTCGAAGGTCATCACTGTCAAGTATAAATAGCAGGAGAGCCCCCAGAAAAAAGGACGGACTGAGATCATACAAACCAGTCATTTACTTCATATATTTTCTTTTCCAGTCTTTTACATTTCCAGTCTTTAAATACCTGTTCTTTAAATACCTGCACTTTAAATACCCGCACTGCACTTCGATTCATAGGAGTAGTTTCAAGTAGATTCAAGTGGATTGCTGTTGTAAACCTCTCCGAGGCTGAGTTTGGACCATTGTAAGTGTTCATTTTAATGAAATACTTCAATTGTTCTTCATATTACTGTTATTCCTTTTAATTTCTCCTAAGTCAAGCCACCAGTAAAAGTCCTCTTCATTGAGGCTGAAAAGAACTAAAACACAATCGTCTGATAATTGGTTGGCAATCACAATTTCTGTAAGGACTGATTGATCCTTGCTGGCACGCTCACATTTACAAAAATACCCTTCGAAAAGCCAAAAAGCCAACAGTTGGATTTAATAACATGTTAAATAAAGAAAACTGATAAACCATTTAGTAGTTGTGGAGGGATGGTGGTGGAGTGATAGTCAGTGCCGGCCTGGGCATGGGACAACAAGGTCATGGCCTAGGACCCTTCAAAATAGATTTAGAAAAGGGGCCTTTCTATTATGATTTAGTGTAATATATTAGGTATATTTTAAGTTTAAAAAAAAAATTAAAGAAGGCCCAAACTAATTTAAAATAAATTGATCCATTAAAAAATTGAAAGTCCCATTCAAAAAAATTAACATTGTTATCCATTGAAAATAGACCCAAAAAAGGGTCTTCCTATTATAGTTTATTGTAATATATTAAGTATATTTTAAATCCTTAAAAAAACTAAGGAAGACCCAAACTAACTTAAAATAAATTGACCCATTAAAAAATTGAAAGACCCATTTAAAATAACTAGCATTGTTATCCATTGAAAATAATTTTGCCAAAAAATTAGATTATGCAAGTATAATTGATTTATTTGCTTCTAAAAATGCAAGAAGAGCGATAATCAAATGACACTTATTAATTGTTGTAATGTAATACTAAGTATTTTTTGTGACTTTGACATAATTTTTTTGTCTTTTATCTTCATTTTTTTTCATTCAATGAAAAAAAAATGTGAAAGGCCCCAAAAATTTATTAGTTAATTATTGACTTTAGGCCCCAGAAATCTCAGGGCCAGGCCTGGTGATAGTGATAATAATGGTGGTGAAAGTGGAGGGAGTGGTGGTAGCAGTAGATAGATAGTGATGATGGTAGGGTTAAAGTAAAAGACTCTTATCATTTGAATGACATATAATATTTAATAAATATTTTATTTCATTTTTACTTATTTAAATTGTACGAGTATCACGTGTCTACTGTTAAGTGTATTTGTTTAGAAGTCTTGCCACATTTACTGTTAAGTGGACGTAATTCCTATAATGTATTTTTATGATTATAGACAAGAAAAATAGGTGGTAGCTCGAAAGTCTGTGGCCCGATTTTGGGTCGAATTTTTTTTTTCTAGCATTTGAATACAGAGAGAGAGAGAGAAAAGAGAGAGAGAAGGAGAAAAGAGGAAGAGGGAAGAGAGAAGAGGAAGAAAAGAAGAGGAAGAGAGAAGGAGGACGACGACGGAGAACGATGGCGGAGGACGACGGCGGGCTGGTGCTGGTTCTGCCGACGACAGGCTCGTGCTGGTTTGTGCTGGTTCTGCCGACGACGGAGGACGACAGCGGGTGCTGGTTCTGCCGACAACAGGCTCGTGCTGGTTTGTGCTCGTGCAGCAGCTCAGCCTCCGCCGCTCCTCCGCCCCTGGTTGATGCCCCCTCCTGTCCAGTTCTCCCTTCCCTTCCCTTCTTCTTCTTCTTTTTCTTCTTCTCTCTTCTCTTCTTCTTCTTCTTCCCTCTTCTTCTTCGTTTCTGATTAAACACAGGAAAAAGGCCATTAAAAAAAAAAAAAAAACAGGTGTCGAGCCAAATTCGACCCACGAATTTCGAGCTACCAACCGTGGTTGTATAGACAATAGCTGTGTTCACATTATTAAATCTAGCCATCTTTAATGTTTAGTGAAAAAGCCAATATATATGTATATATATGTAGGGAATTTGTAAGACCTGGTTTTATGGCTCTACCTTTTTACATTTATTTATTATTTTATTTTTAATATTTAAAACAGTATTGAAACAACTTTCTTGAATTTATAGAAGCGAGATTGTTAATCATCTATATATTTTTTTATAGAGGTGGTGAACAGGAAGTTTGGATAGTTATAATAAGTTAGAAAAATGTTTGGTGGCCACAATATTCGCGGCTCAAATGGCTCGAATTGACCAAAACGACGTCGTTGACGTTGTTTTGGTCAATTCTAGCCATTCGAGCCTGGGAAATTCGGGCCCTCTATCATTGCTGAATAAGTTATGCGGTGAATGAGAAGTTTTGACGGTTAAAATAAGTTATGCATGCTTATTTTATAAGTTAAGTGAATTGGTTGGATTGACTAATATGTTAAAAAAAAGAAATTGACAAACCGTTTAGTGGTGAAGGAAGGGTGATAGTAGTGGAGTTGTTACAATCCAAACTCGGTATCCGGAGGTTCGGCGTCACAACAAGGCAATAACTGAATTATTCGAGTGTTGTAGGAGTGATAGCGACAGTAATGGTAATGGAAGTGGAGGCAGTGGTAGTAGCTGTAGACAGGTAGTAATGGTGGTGAGGTTAAAGTATAAGACTCAACTTGAGTGACACATAATATTTAATAAATACTTTATTTTATTTTTATTTATTTAAATTATACAAGCATCACGTGTGTCAAACAGTCTTATCAGATTTATTGACAAGTAATGTAATCTCGGTATGTATTTTTATGGTTAGAGATAATAATTGTGTTCACATTATTAAATCTATCCATCTTTAATGCTAATGGAAAAGCGCAAAAAAAAAAAAAAAAGAAAAAAAAAAAAGAAAGTAAGTTTATGTGTGCAAAAATAAACACAGAATATGATACAATCCTCTCATAAATGGTGAGATCCACATGTGGGACCCACTTCTTGTAAAAGGATTGTGTCCTATTTTGTGTTTAATTTCCATGTTCCTAGCATTACTGGAAAAAAAAAAAAATGAAGAATTTGCAGGAACTGATTTTACTACTCTACCCTTAAAGTTTTTTTTTTTTAAATTTTTAAAATAAAATGAATAATGTTGAAACTTTATTCTTAAATCTATAGAAGTGAGATTGCTAATCATTTACATATTTTTTTAAAGAAGCGGCAGATGAAAAGTTTGGATAGTTAAAATTAGTTATTATGTAAGAAATGAGAAGTTTTGATGGTTAAAATAAGTTATGCATTTTTATTTAATAGTCTAAGTGAGTTGATTGAATTGAAAAACATGCCAAATAAATGAAACTGACAAACCATTTAGTGGTTGTGGAGGGTTGATAGCGACAATATGGGTAATGGAGGTGGAGGTAGATGGGTAGTGATGGTGGTGGGATTTAGGCAGAAGACTTCTATCACGACACATAATATTTGATAAATACTTATTTGAATTGCATATGTATGACTACTGACTTTCATTGAGTTTACTATATATAATCTATTTAAACTTTTGTATGAATTTAAATAACTTTAAATGAGTTTAATTGGCCGGATTGAATATTAGGTTTAGTTAGCCACCTCTTCAAGTGGAGGTAGTCACCTCCAACTTTTACTTAACTCAAAATATTATCTGAACTAATTTTTATTGTGTCATTTTTCTGAAATATTTATACTCAAAAAAAAAAAGAAAAAAAAATTGATATAATTTAAGAAATTTTTTTATTCCTACACTATTTATTTAAGGAAAAAGCTT